AAATACGTTTCTTTGCTCAATAATTGCCAGAATATTGTTATTTCAAACATTGATTTCATAAATTTGTTACTAAAAATTTCAAGAAGTAACGTGAAATAATTCTTTGTGATTTACTTTTTGAATATAATTTTCTGCTTTGTGCAGATTCTTCTGAGTATATCTGTTTTACACTGTCTTTCAATTTTTTTCCCCGCAATATAGGGAAGGTAGAGGCCAAATGCACTAGGGGGGAAAAATTAACCGGGGGGAGGGGTATAATAGACCGGGAGGTTTAACTACTGTTTAAATAATTGTCAATATGTGGTGAGTTAACAACTAAAAAATGTTCTATCAACATAAATTTTTTATATAGAAGTTGAGGGTTTCATGTTTTTTAACACTTGCTCCTCCTCAACCTTCATCAGTCATATTTGCGTCTTTTTCCTACTACTTCCTTTTCATATTTGTGAAATAAGAGTAAAAAATGGAAGCAAAAGAATTACAAGCGGAAAAATTGAAATCTGACAAAAATTTTCAGAGTGGACCATTTTGTCCCCATCTCCCCTACCATTAGTAACATTATACCTACGAGTGTAATTGACTTCATTTCTTAAATTATAATTGAGATTAGGTTGAATGGAAAACATCTGTTCGTCTACTGCAGCACATCGCTTTTCAGTTGCCGCAATAACCGAACAGGTATTTTTGCTCATTTATCAGTACTTTAAAATATTTTTAAAGTCTCTAACAGTATAAAAATTGTATTGGTCCGTAATTCGAATTGAAATAAAAAAAATTAAAAAAAAATGGCTAAGTGATTAGTGGTAATACCCCGAGTGCTTCAAAATAATCGGATATTTCCCGCTAAAACCCTCATATGGGTATTTGCTAGGGAAAGCAACGAATCGAAATGAAAAAGAAATATATTCAAATAGACAATTAAAAATTGAGTACATTTCAGAGATGATTTCCCACCACAAACCTGTCAAATATTTTATAAAAATTCTTGAAATTTTAATTTTTTCATTGACTGCACGTCATTATGGATTCAGCAGGGGATTACCTTTGGGACCCTCAAAATTGCTACCACCCGAGTGGAAATTAGTTCAGGTCTACTTGAAGTCCGATCAGAACTTGATTCAGTTTCAGTGCGGTTCGCTTGATCAGGTAAGATCTGATCAGAACCTGACCAAGGTTTGATCCAACGTTTCGGATCCTAAAAACTACAAGCGAATTTAGATCAAGTTCTGATCAGGCAGGCCTGATCAGATGACACTTGATGAAAACTTGATCAAGTTTCGAGCCAGTATATTGAACCCTATAAACTACAAGTGGCTTTACATCAAGTTCTGGTCAAACATGCCTGATCAGATGACACTTGATGAAAACTTGATCAAGTTTCGAGCCAGTATATTGAACCCTATAAACTACAAGTGGCTTTACATCAAGTTCTGGTCAAACATGCCTGATCAGATGACACTTGATGAAGTCCTGACCAAGTTTTGACCCAGCAAGTCAGATAAACATGATCTCACTCTGAGATCAAGCTGCCTCAACACAATTTGTTCTCCTTCCGATTCAATTCCCTTGATTTTCAATTGAATAGCTCGATAAAAAAGAATCACAAATGTATAGGAAGCAAGGGCAATATATATAGTGAAGTATCAAACATAAGAGCGCATTATCTTGAGTCTAAAAAAATCATCAAACTTGCATCTGTTCATTGTGTTATGATTATTATAATTATCTTTTAATAATGTAATAAAATTTGAACCGAATATGTTTTCTCGCTCAGAATGTACATGCAATAATTTCAAAGTCATCAAATACTCCCTTGCAGATTGTGTAGGTAAAAAGAATCTACTCAAAAACAATAGTGCTGTAGTCCAGTGGTTAGGGCGTAGGTTTAGTAATCGTAGGTTCCTCGGTTCGATCCCCAACATTGTCAAAAATAATAGGGTTTTTTCATCGCTAATTACAATCGGGCTTCATTAAGAGCGGTCAGATATAATAAAAAAAATTAATTATCTTTTGTTTTAAGTGAGTTATGGTTAATATTTATCATTGTTTTCGATATTCCAGTCATCCGATTTAGATACATTTGACTTGATCAAATCCGGAACCGTTAGACCGGATCGGAAAAGTTTGATCAAGTCTTGATTTAAACTTGCGTTACATGTCTGATCAAAATTTGATCCAGTTACCGTGTCACTTCCGGATCAATCATCAAGTATGACCTGATCCAGTCTTGACTAGAACTTGACCAAAATTTCCACTCGGGCACATGTACACTCTTCTGCCTCTTTCAGGAACGGGTGACCTGCCCTTAAGTAAGTTTTGAGGGTCTTTGGGGTTACTATTAGACTATGGAAATGTTTCGTTTCCAATGATAGACTATTCTTGACTTTTCATGGTCAATCAATTATGAAATACAAAATTTTTCAATTATCCAATAAGTAAATCAATTCCATTCAGATGAAAATTACGCTCTGGGCACCAGGGTCGCCTTCACCGGCCCTGAAGAAGGTGGCCAAGTGCACATGTGGAAAAAATTTTGAGATCCGAAAGATAAAACAGTCCTAAAATGATGAAGGGATGCGGTTAAAATAGTAATACCTTTTCCGAAAAACTTTGACAATTATTATAAATTTTTTTGAAGATGTAGTGTAATAAATGTTTACACAAAAGTGTTAAATATGTTATTATACATTAATTGTTATTTTTTCTATTTCAACTGCTTTCCCCGTATTGGAGATAGCCACGTGAGATATTTTGATTAAAAACAACAATAATTGTTGAAAAAATAATCTGTTTGTTTAACCGTTCCATTCTTGAACAAATGGGGCATCAAGTGAAAAATCGGGGTAATTTTTGAAGACAAATTGAGGTCCTGACACTCAGTCAAAGTTCATTGATTCTCACGGCATATGAAAAACATGGGTTTTTTCATCTTTTCATCATAATAACGCAGAAACTATCGCACGGAGAGAAATCTTTCCTCAAAATTACGTGCCTGTTCCGTAATCTGCCAGTCAGAACAGCATTCAGTAAAAATTACGGAACAGTTACGCTCTTTTTTACGGAACACTCCGTATTTTTCCCTGAATGTTTCGTACTTTTTCCTGAACGTTCAGTGAAAAATTGCGTAACTATTCCGTAATTTTTACTAAATACTGTTTTGACTGGTGGATTACGGAACAGGCACGCAATTTTTAGGAATTTTTTCTCTCCGTGCGGATGAAAAAAAAACGAAACTCCGTATTGGAGTAGAGTAATAGTCAATCTAGCAAATGAAAATGCATTCACAAATGTATGATTTATTTTCACAAAGATCAAAATTCAAAATTTGCGGACTACAATTATGAAAAGGATAGTAGTTTATAACATTCGACGATGGCTCCTCGCCGTGAGACCTAGCCAGGACACATAGCCACGAAACTTTACCATGGCACCTAGTTGTGGCAGACGGTCATAGCCGCTGATCATGGGCCCTTGCCATGGCAGGTTCATGGCCACAGCTATGGGCGCTTGCCATGGCAAGCAGCAAAAAGACCATGACAACGCCATGAGCATTGGCCATTGGCATTGCCATGACTTTGTTTGTACGTGAATTTTAGGAGACCTCAATGGAGGCCTTAAGACCTCCATAAAACCTCATAAGGTTTCATGGAACTCCCATCAAGTTCTTATAACATATCGCTTATAACAATTGATTTAAAATTTTCATTAGGCTCACATAAAACCCCTACTTTCATAAGGTCCTCAGGAGTTTTCTCATAAGACTATACTAGATTTCGATTAAACCCCGACTAAACCCCGATTAAAGCCTGACGAAATCCTGACTAAACTCTTACTAAAGCCCGATTAACCTTTCGTTGGTCGCGCTGTGAGCGCCGCGCCGTACACAAACTGACAATGGAGATAAAAATAAAATTACTATGAAAAATTATTTGAAATTCCAGGAATACTCTTTTCAAACTATTTTCTACCCTTCAGTAAATTTTTTTTTGTATGACAAGCGATAAAACTTTCAAAAATTGAGCTTTTCTGGGACGCGAGCATGAAATACGGCGCCGCATTCATTGTGCGACGACAATCGTCGATTAAATTTTCTTAACGACGTTGCCTCATGCGTGTTACCGGTAGTTAGTCCAGAGATAGCCTAAACCAGGCATGGGCAAAGTCGGACCCTCGGGAGCCGGAGCCATAAAACCCTATTAGACCCCTTACTAGAAATACAATATCCCAATTGCGTGAACGTTGCGTATTAACAAAAATTAAAAATCTTTTCAACAGTGTTTTTTCAATTAATTCGCTGCCGAACTATTCAATTCGGAGTGATTTATTCAACGGAATTTTATGCGCAAGTTGATATAGGAAAAAATGATTAACTGATATTTTTTAACAATGCAAAATACAGCAAGAAAAATATTCCTATTTTTCGGTCGAAAAGTCAAATTTTTGCGTGTTGACTGACGCAACGATACCCTCACTCTGATCCAAGCATCGTGGTCTCGCCCCTCTGCGACTACCTGCACAGTACAATAGGACTCCTTCTTTTATAGTCATTGGCCTAATTGGGGTTGGGAGCTAGGTGAGCCAAATGAGCGCACTTTGCCCATGCCTGCTCTAGAACATATATAAGGTTCATCGAAATTGTAGGGGGGGCCACCTACCTAGCGTTCCTTGTTAGTTGATTCCAAAGAAATGATCATTGGATTTCAATGAATAAAATTGCTAGTGCTATTGCACTCTCACAACCTAAAAACTACCTCCATGCAGTAGAAGCTAAAAAAAAGCCATAAGGTATTTGAAAATAGAATTTGTTACTTCATTGCCTCTGTCATGAAATGAAATAACTACCATCATCTTATTCACGAAAGTTGATATATTAACCTTATGTTTTCAGCTTTGGCAGCAATACCAGTCCTTATCCTTAATCGTTACCATGTACACTTTCTTAATAAAAAATTTTACAGTTTGCAGGAACCACAGTGAAGATCGGTGGAATACACCAGTCAATGGCAACAGTTGAATGCAGTGTTCAGATCCAAGATGGTGAACAAGAGCATCAATCACCATCACGATCAAATGAGGCGAAGCAGAATAATCTTCAACTGCTATCTGAAAAAACTACAGCCAGTAACTGCGAAACTCAACACTCAACGGGAACAGTTTCATCAAGAGTTGTTCAATCCAAAAGCGGTAGCAACCAAGCTGCAACTGGCACTGAAGCTGAGAATGGCCCACTCCTCACCGAAATTATCAACGACGATACCAATGGCTTTAGGATTGATCCAGCAAATTACTCCCCGTTGCAGAACTCACAGCAACCTGGTCAATCAGTCTTAGGTCAGTCCCAAAATAATCAATCTCAAGCCATCGTTGCCAGTGGTTCTCAAAATGCCCAGGTTATTTTTGGGTCACAATATTTTCTACAACAGCATCAGTCAGGAGTACCACAGGTTGAACAACAACAGCAGCTCCCAGTCAGCATCATCAATGCTACTCCCAACGGCTCCAGGATTCAGCCTGCTGGCGATCTTCAATCGATCAATCTGCAGCGGCCTGCTGAAATACAAGTTCAGCCTCAAAATGTGCAATTTGAAGCAACTGTTGCCAGTGATTCTGAAAATGACCAAGTAATCCATTCATCTCAACATTCTCTACAGCGGCGTCAACCAGAAGTACCTCAGCTCCAGCAGCAAAAGCAAGCCCCAGTTGACATTATCAATACTCCTCCTAACAGCGCCAGTATCCAATGTATAGCTGACCCTCAATTGATCAATATACAACAACCTGATCAGTTATCAGTTCAACCACAAAATGACCGATTTCAAACACCTACTTCCAGTGGCTCTCAGAATGGCCCAGTAATCCATTCATCACACAGTTCTTCACAGCAGCATAAGCCAGAAACACACCAGCCTCACCAACAACAGCAACCCACAATCAGCATTATCAATACTAGTTCTGACGTCGCGAGGATACAATCTCCAGCTAACCCTCAATTGATCAATATGCATCAACCAGTTCAACCTCAAAATAACCGATTTCAAGGAACTGTTATCAGTAACTCCCAGAATGTCCAAATGATCCATCCGTCACAAACTTCTTCACGACAGCACCAGCCAGTATTACCTCAGCTTCAGCAGCTTCCAATGGGCGGTATTAACGACGCTCCCAACAGCTCTAGGATCCAACCCACAGGTGACCCTCAATTGATTAATTTGCAACAACCTACTCAGCTGTTTCCAAACAATGATAGGCGTGCCGTTGAACACCAACAAAACTTTCATTATCACCCTTTGTTGATGACCAATCACCACCAACATTATCCGTTACTACTGAATGCAAATTATTTTGCTAATGGTAACCAACGAAATCTTGATGAACCGCCTGTAAATCAATTTCTAATAAATGAGGCCCACCAAGTCTATGCTGAGGATGGAAGAGACGTGAATGAACCTCCGCATCAATTTAATGTACCACAGCAACTGGCAATGGATGGAGGGAATAATGTTGATCGACGAAATGTTAATCATCCACTCGTTGCACCGCCAAACAATTATTTCCAATATGTTGCTGAACGGAACAGGCAGCAAGGTTGAGAAGATATAGAGAATTGTCGGCCACAACAACTTGAACAATTTAATGGAAATAATTATGCTCAGCTACGCGATGAAATGCAACGAGGTTTTCGACATGTTCAGCACGCCCTTAATCGCTTGCAACCTCAAAATGAATTTGTCGAGCCACCTCTGTTCCTCAAGTTTGATTCTATTGAATCCCTCCGAAACTTTGATGATGCACCGGATCACAACTACCGACAGCTCGTCAACTATCTAGCGCGAATTGGTGGAAAAACTTTGAACTCAGCTGCAGCCCTGATGCTTCGTGCTTCACTTGAGGAAGAAAATGGTTTTATGTCAAAATTAACTATAAAACGTCATGAGGAAGGAAAATTTTTGATTGGCAAAACAAAATTTTTCAAAGCTCTCTCTGCAGCTCTACGTCGAGGGAAATTTAATCCACTCACTGATCAACTTATTAGCAGTGCATTATCGGCAGGGCTTAAAAGCTCAAAAAATCTTCAACGATACCATCAGAGAAGGCGAAGAGGTTGGTGGAAAATTATTAACGCTCAAGATATTTAGTCAAACTAAACAAGGTCTGGATTCTACGTATACCCTTAATGCATAATGTATGCCAAAACTAGTTTTTTGCACTCACACAATATACATTAGGAACAGCTATGTAGCCTCATTAGTCAGAATCGACCCCTATAGAAGTTGAGTTAATAATAGAAGATGGAAAAAAGTGGGAGTAATGTTTGTTGATTTTTTCATTTTCAGCAGATTAAAACACTGAAACGACTTTCGTATGATGTTGATAATTCCCTCAGAGTTCTCCGGAAGTCCAGGGAGTTAGTTTTCAATACACGGCAGTTAATCTATTGATAGCGTATACAGCGTTACGCTCTCGTCAGGCGGTTTTCAGCACGGTAAATTCTATATTAGTTAGTCGATATTGTCCATTTGCTAAATGGCAAAAAAAAATATTCCAAGTTCCAAAATAATATTTATGTTTTGTTTCTGTTTTAGGATATAGAGACAAAATCTTCGTTCGAGCAAAAAATGAGAATTGAAAAGAATTTCCATACGTCATTCTCTAGAAATTCTATGATTATCTTGTGGAGAAGGAATAAGTTGGTTAATTCTACAGAAAAGGAGGTTCCCTCTTCACAATTTTCGAGGGATGCATGTTTTTGAACGATTTTCACACATATACTGTTTTTATACTATATCCATTGTTTTCATGTATAAACTGTTTTCATAGTATATTCATACTGTTCCATTACATTCAAATCAATAAATCTTAGAAGTTTGCAAGTTTAAAGTTGTTTTCATTTTTTCTTGTTCCAAGATTGCCGGAATTTTATGAACTCAAAATAGGTCTTTGGATTATTAGAATTGGTGAAAAAAAATTTCATTATAAGCGTGTGGATCTAATCAATTAAAGACAGATAGATGGAACTTGAAAAAAAGCGAAAAACAAAAAAACTCATACATTTCAACTAGACTGCCAAAAAACAAAAAAGTTTGAGAAAGTTTTCACCACCCCCCCCCATGGCAGAGAAAATTACCATCAATTTTCAAGGCGTTAGGTCTCGAGGAATTTATTTTTCGTCAGATACATCATTTATGTCTCAGATTCATAACAGATATTAACTGTTATTGTACGGCTATTTATCCGTAAAATTTTCTGAAAAATTACGACAAAAATTATTCCTAAATTTACTGCTTTCAATCGGTAAATTATCGAAAAATTAGTAGATGAAATACCCTAAAATTTACTGGGCTATCTAATAATTTTGTTGCCTGGGAAATATTAACTGTCATTTTACGGTTATTTATCCACAAAACTTTGACGAAAATTAGTCGACAAAGTTCATCCTGAATTTTACAGCTATTTATCTAGAAAATTTTCCCAAAAAATGACAACAAAAATTATTCCAAAATTTACCGCTTTCAATTGGTAAATTATCGAAAAATTAGTAGATGAAATACCCTAAAATTTACTGGGCTATCTAATAGTTTTGTTGCCTGGGAAATATTAACTGTTATTTTGCGGCTATTTATCCGCAGAACTTTCACGAAAATTAGTCGACAAATTTTATCCTGAATTTTACAGCTATTTATCCGGAAAATTTTCAAAAAAATGACGACAAAAATTATTCCAATATTTACCGCTTTCAATCGGTAAGTCATTGGAAATTTTTATGGAAAATTTTGGGAATGATTCAACGATAATTCTGACATCACTTACTGTAGAATTTACCCTCATTGTGTTGGTAAAACACCGACAAATTATCGAAAAATTGGTAGATGAAATAGCCTAAAATTTACTGGGCCATCGGATAGTTTTGTTGCCTGGGGGCCGTCGGCCATCTTGAAAGAGGGTTAGTGAGTGTGGAAAACAAAGGTTCAAATTTATTGGTACAGATCGACTCAGAATCATCCCTTGAGTCGATTTACCCACCCCTGTAAAGACTTTTTTTTTCATCCCATCGGTCATTTTGAGAGAGGGTTAGTGAGGGTGAAAAAAAAAGGTCGAAATTTATAGATACAGATCGACTCAGAATCATC